AAAGAGCTCATTTAGAAGCATTTGAAACTGAATACGAGTTTTTGGCTAGTGTTGAGTAAGTTATCTTTCTTACAACTGCTGTAGATTTTGTTGTTTAGTGGTGCTATAGATAAAGGGAAAATAAAGCCTTTTTACCAAATCTATGAGTGTGAATTTGGACAAGATAATGGTAACCTAATATCTTGCTGCCGATGCCGCCTGGTTGACAAAATTAAAGAACTAACTAAAGGAAAATCATTAACTTTATTTGTCTTAATTGTTCACTTGCCAAGAAAGTGTTACAATACAGACTTCGTTAGCTTTCAAGAGTACCCCTGGATATGCTATCATGTTGATGAGCTCATTCCATCAGAGGAATCAAAAGCTCTACTGAGGCAAATCGTTTGTCAGTCAAATCACTTTAGTCATCTGTTTCTTGCTGAAGGGACAGACCCAACTGCTGATGAATTATTTAATACTGTAAATGATCCTAACCAGTATCTTCAATTGTTTCCTCTTGATGATGCTGAACCAGTCAATTTTTGCAGTCGAATTCACACTTATATTACTGATGCTGTATCACAATTAGATCAATCAGAAAAGATTCAGTCATCCCAAAAAATTAAAAAACTGGAGAGTTTAATATCAAAAAATGCACAAAGAAGTACTATGTTTTAGATAAAACTGTGTGTCTTACAATAATATATATTTTTAGGTCAAATTTTTTACTCTGTAACAATAGCTTTAATGAAAAGGGTGCTGGAAGAGATGGATGACAGTCAGTGGTGGTTTTTTGAAGAGGCAATAAATATCCAACATCTTCAAGAAGGCGGCAGTTTTAGCAATGTTCTAATAAGGAGATATGATAAAACCTTGAAGCCACTTTTTATTCAAATAATTAGATTTATTGATAGGCATTCCAACCTTCAATTACTGATGCCTGACTGCCTTGATGAAAATGATAAACCTCTCTCTAAACTATGGCTGGAAATCTATAGCTCATGGGAGCTGTGTCAAAGTACTTTGTTCAAAATTGTAGCTTCTCAGAAGCATGAGAAAATGGATCAGAAAGTCTTTCAATGTGCATTCCCATTTTCATGGATAATATACGAATACATCAACAAAAAAATTGATGATGATAATGAAGGTTTGTATTTAGTTATTTATATGTGATCAATGTCTCTAGATATTTTACAAAATTTTGAATTGCAAGAGTGCTTCAAAAGCCTTCCTCCAGCACTTTTTAAGGAATTTGCAGCATTTTATTCTCATGATTTTGTTTTTCTTTTGAGATCATCAGATTCAACGCATTGTGAAGTTAGTGTTTTTTTGTTCTATTGCTATTTTTTTACTTGTATAGCTTCTTTCCAAGGCACTGTTGACAATGTCTTATGCTACTATTAATGATGAAAGCAATTTTATTGAGATTCTTATTGTAATTCATTCTACTTATTCTGATTCTAAAGAATATTTTGAATGTTTCTTGGATTTAGCTGTTGAAATGCCTTCCATTGTTAGAGCTATCATTGATAGAAATGAAATAATATTTGATGTATCAGTAAGTGTAAATAATTTTGTGCAAATAATGATATAATTATACTTAGTCTTTAATTGTTGTTGCACTCCAAGAGGTTTTGAATAATATTCACCTTGATGAGAAAGTTCCTCTTAAGGGCACTGCAGCTCTTAGAGGATGGATGCAAAAGATGTACCAACTACAAGCAATAATTGATAATATATTTAACAACCTTCATCTTGACAATTGCCATGAACTGAAGTATTGCTCCATCTTAAATTTTTAATTTTATCAAGTTCTTGTTTAGGAAACAATGGCAAAGATTGTGTGTTATGAAGCTTTTTATGGAACATGTCGTCATTGATCATGAAGGTGACCTGCTTAAATTTGCCACACGTCTTGACAAAGTAAGTTTACCTTAAATAATTATATGATTTATGTACTTATACATCTAGTATTCAGACAAAATAAAGGACTACCGAGGCCCACAAGTTTTAAAATTTGTTTCAACATTACTGATTGCTGTTGAAGATGTTGTTATGAAAGAGATGTAAGTGCTGTGCTTATACTGACTTATGTCTATTTTATTTACACCAACATTTATTCTTATTTCTTTGTAACCATTGTTTTTCACAGCTTGTTTATCAATAATGCTATTATCATAAATATATTTTTGCATTACTGCATATGGCATCATTGCTTCTGCTTATTCAGCATTTCTGATAATATGTTATTTGCTCTCATATGTAAATTGGCCAATAGTACAATTATATTGTTGGTGGCTGGAATTTTTTGTGCTCTATGCTTATTATAAAAACATGAGAATCAAGCCTGTATGATGTTTTAAATTTTCTACTTTTTTGTATGACACTGTAGTGGTGACAAGACTAAACAAGTCAGCATTAGAGAAAGCTGTTGGAACTTTTTTGTGGATGTTCTGCTTAATTTTTGTGATTCTGACAATAAGGAAGTACTTGAG